TGTTTGCCACTTTCCTCCTGAAGTTAGTTACTGTGGTGCCATAATATTTTAATGAGAAATGAAAACGTGATTATTTGTACACATGTGGTCTTCCCTCACAGATCATAACACACCATAATGTAACATTCATAAGACTCGGGCTTACTCAGTACTGTAGTCGCCACATGTAACAGTGCCTGTACTGTTCAGTGGGTACAGAACAAATAGCTGTTGAATCAATGCACCAAGGAAGGAATGAATGGGCTCCTTGGAGGGCAAAACCAGCACTTACCCCTCCCAGGGCCCAATCCGTGTGTGGCACCCAGTAGGTGTGCAGGGGGACCAGAGGCGGGGCCTAGGCTCATTGTGGGGGCTCCCCTTTTCACCCTTCTCCTTGTCTTTACCTGAAAACAGCAATCAGGCCACCAGGCCTCCCAGGGGGCTCTGAGGATTTAGTGGTGCGGTTCTCAAACAATCCTTAGAGTCATTCCTGGCTCATAGCAAGGGCTCCACGAATGTTCACTGTTACGACTGGGTGCTCAATAAATATTATATAAACTCTCATTTGTCCTGCATCTTTTCTTACTTTTTCACATAGGCTTAATTCCATTCTAATGAGCTGAATTATCTGTGCCTATCACAAAAAACTGAATATCAATTCGAAGAGGCTTGCCATTGGCTTGGAATTTTCTTCTCCATTGAGATTTACTTGTGTGCAACTATGTGATTTTTCTACCAAACGTGGGCTCTTACTTTGAAAATGGAGTTGGAATGCGGCCATGCTTTGTTTTCAGAAGTTCCATCAAACGAACCACGGGCTCTTTAAACCCCAGACTTCGTATGTCCCCCTGCCTGGGACGCCCTTCTCCAGCACCTCTCCGTGTGCAGGTCCCCCCCAACCTTTGTGCCCTCTGGGGAGAGCCTGCCCCCTCCTCCTCTAGCCTTCCCCCATAGCCCCGCTATGGCCTTTCTCACATCGTATCATGTGTGTTTGTTTATGAGTAACATGGACTTTTTGTTTATTACCATATCACAGAGAAACGGCTGGGCAGATTTCTGCCAGTTTTGAAGAGTGAGTTCTGGGTGGTCTGACGTAGAATATAAACCAGGCGGCATATGCAAAATTCACTCTTGGAGGACCTGGGGCGCGGGGGACTTCAAAAAGACAGGCAGTCATTCTCCAGAGCAGCTGAAACTGAGGGGCCGGCCTGTGTGGCTGCTGGCCTGTAGGGATATGCCCTTGTAGACACCAACATGGACAGGAAGACCAACAGCGGCTCCACCATAAGCTCCAAATTGAAAGTCACGATGGTGGACGCTCTACACTCCAGACACTGACGTGTAGTCGAGTGAGTCGTGAAAGGATTTGCTTATTTATGCTTGTAACAAGAGGGAGGCCAGCTGCTCTGTCTCCAAGTCTGTGCCCTGCAGCCCACTGGGAGCTCCTAGGAGGCAGGGCCATGTCTCCATCACCTCCATGTCCTCAGAGTGCAGACTCAAGACACAAGCATTGAGAAGTCAGCGTCCGCCCCCCGCTGCACCCACCAGAGCTGCCCTCACCATCCTGGGTACATGCTGACATCCAGGCCTCCTTAGCGGTTAAGGCACAAACTCCAATCTGACGCCAGACACACAGAGGAGAGGCCTCTGGCTGAAGCAGGGTCCTGCCAGCCTCTTGCCGAACCAGGCATAACCCTGTACTTGCAGAATCACGGAGCAGTCTGCTTGGGGTTTTCTTGGGGACACTTATGGGCTCTGGAGCGGTGGCTTTTTACCAACACGTAATGGAAGCAATTCAACATTTTAACAATGGAACGTTTAGTAAGAGCACAGCATACCAGTGCCCTGGGACTGTGGGGACACAGGCGACTGATGGCTGAACATTCTCAGGGTCTTCCTGGGCTCTTTCATCTCTGAAGACGCCAATGCTCCGGCAAATCCTCCCGGATCCTAGACTACCTGCAGTGACCCTAAAGCCAACTGCCTGGTTTTCAAGAACAATTCTAGAGCAAACAGACCCAAGTGACCTGATTGCCTTTTCCAGGCCCCTGTGATGACTCCATCTCCCTAATGTCCTCCTTGTCACAGCCCTCTGGAAGGACAGGACTCCACGTGGTGTGGGTGAGGGCTGTGAAGGACTCCCCAGCCCAGAGTCAGTAATGGGCAGAGCTGGGACTCAAGTCCAGGGCCACGCACTGACCACAACGATGCTTTTCACAGGAGTGTCTCCCCTTCAGAGCAGCCCTCTGATGGGGCTGCACAGTCACCCCAGCAATCCATTGCTCAAAGCTGCTGGGGTCTCTTAGGAACAACTTCAGTGTCTGTAGCACTTTCCTCTGAGTGTCTGTCTTTATCATTTGAAAACGGCTAGAGTTTTTTTCTTTTTAGAAAATGCACAGTTACTTGTTCTCAGGAGCGTCTCATCAGCCGGTTCTGAAGGCTTTTCCAGAAAGGTCTGCGGTGAGGGCAATATCACCGGATTCAAGTCAGGGTAGGACTGAGGGGCTCTGCCATCAGAAGTCCTGTGTGCAGGATCTGGCCCTGCAGCTTGGGAGCCGGGATCCCAGGTTTGTACTTTCTGGCCATTGGACCTGAGCCAACCCACTTAAGCCTCAGTTTCCCCATCTGTACAAAACAGGTGACACTAATACCTGCCTTGGAGGGTCGCTGTGATGCTTTTATAAAGTGGTGAGGCATGTGGGATGCTGAGCGCAGCCCCTGGGGATGTGGCTGTTGTCATCTGTGCTACTTTGAAGGGCCTCAGCTCTTTGAATGTGTGAGTTCTGGTGCTGGTCAACAAGGAGTAACTTTACAACCACGAATCTTTGTTTTTCTATCCTGCTGACCATACTTGGTCTGGAGTTGGCTCAGCTTGACTGGCTTCCCCAATGACCCTACATGCTTTCAACAAATATGTATGGAGGGCCCATGGACCAGGCGCTGTGCAGAACACTGGGGATGCAACAGTGATCAGAACTGTCATAAGTCCCTGCCTTCATGGAACTTAGCTTTCAGAGTAAATAAACCCAACTCAACCCAAATGAGCCCCAAATCAAATCCTGCACCATCCTAAACTCTACAGGTGAGCTGCAGGCCTGGGCTGTGGTCCACTGCCCTCCGAAGGGAGTGTGAGCATTCTGCTGTGACAACTGACCTCTGGAACCAGGAAGCCTCCTCTCTCTAGAGTATGTGCTCCTGGGCTGACTGCTTCCAGGTTGCTATGGAAATAGTGTTCAAGTGATGGGTTTGTTTTGAACAAATGAGACCAACCGCTAAGTGGAGGATTCCGGGTACTCTACCCGCCCTGGGGGTAACTTCTGAAGTAGGATGGTCTTGGGATAGGGATTCTTCTCCCAGCGACTTCTTCAAGGCTGGGGTCCTGGCGTGGCCTCAGAGACCAGCTCTGCGTCCTGTGTGAGGGACCTCCAGACTCAGGCAGGGATGGCCACGAAAAGCTCTGGAGACGTCGGCCAATATGTTCTGCACTTGGAGGGCTTGCTCTCTGAAGGGTCGACGCTCAGCCAGTGAGGGTGGATTGACAATGCCCTCTGCACAAGGTCAAGGAGGCTGACCAGAGCAACACAGGGAGCCCCTTCCGCTGGCCACCACCTTCGCTCTCTGTAGACAGGAGCGCGGCTTAAGTAGCCCTTTGTTCCAGCCACACGGGCAGAGGGAGGCCCTTTATCTTTTTGAATTTTACCTTGAGTGCCTAGAATCTAACTGCTCATTACCATCTTTGGGGAGAAAGAAAGAAAAACCGTGCTTCAGGGAAGCATGGCCTTGCAAGTCCCCAGTATGTACGTGGCTGCAAAGAGTTAAATACTTACAACAAGATGGCATAACCTGAATCATGTGAGTCCCTGTGCAAGCCAGCCTAAGTTGGTGTCTCTGTCTCTGCCAGCTCTGAGCTGGGGTGTTAGCTCCAGCCTTCTCGGCTCTGCCAAGCCCGTCAGTAACCCTGGAGCTGAACAAAACAGCAGCGAGAGAGAGGCCCTCGGTCCACAGGGCCCACAACTGGATCCCAGGCTTGCTGGCACCTCCCACATAGCGGACAGCCCTGCTCTGCGCTGGCACCTCTTCCTTCTCGTCCTCTCCCAGCACTGGGCAGAAAGGTCCAGGGCGTGGGACACAGTGGCCTTTCGTGGCTCCTCCCTCAGCAACCATCACGCTTGGCCAAGGCTGAGAGGGCTGGGGAGGTAGGCTGCAACATCACATCACTGGAATGCACTCAACCCCCTCTCCCCATAGCCTGGGACAGCGTCCACATGGCCCACCTAACGGCAGCCTCTCCAAAGCTCTGTGTCTGCCGGAGGCACCATCCCCTTCTTAATATAAGAGCCGACATCTATTGAACGGCTGCTGTGCGCCAGGCCCTGTGCTAAACTTCTCTGTGCCTAATCTCAGTGAGTCCTCCCTACTGCCCCATAAGAGAGCCTATTATTAACCCCGCCCATTCTACAGATGGGGAAACTAAGGCTCAAAGAGGTTACCTACCACACCCAGGATGCCACAGCCCATAGACTGCAGAGCCATGATTCAAATCAGGTCCAAACCTCCAAAGTGTAACACCTCCATGGTCTACACTGCTTCTCATCCTTGGGGCTCCAGGGCACTCAGCTGTCTATTTCTGGAGCTCATTCTGACCTGACTAGCTAAGTTTAGCAGTTCTCGGGGCTCTGGCAAAGCAGGGCTGCTGTGTCAAGCTCCCTCTCCTTGCCTTCATGTTCCTTTGCAGGCCAGAGCTACTGAGTGACTGAGCATGTGGGGTGACTCCGAAAAGTCCAGAGGCCCATGCTCTTGGGGAGATGTTATGTGATCAAGGCTACAGGGACCCCATGACCCCTGGGAGCAAACCCTGAGCAGAGCTAGGGAGGTGGCAGCTGGCCCACGTACGACTTCTGGATAGTTTCCTGGGGCCCCGTAGTCTTTATGGCCCCATGAAGGAAAGGAGGGAAGGAAGCCCATGTGATGGGGGCTGCTCCACTCCCCTCTCCGGGGCACCTGGCCCTCCTGCCCCTCACCTGAGAGTCGGAGACTTCTGAGGGCTTCTCCGTCAGGCTGCTGCTCTCTGCCGGGATGAGGTCATTGTACTTGGTGACATCCTCGTCGGAGTAGTGGAGGCTGCCCGGGCTGGGCCGGGGAGGAGACCTAGAGAGAGTAGGGTGAGGCTGAGAGACGGCGTCACTCAGAGCAGCCTCCCCAGGCTGGAGAGGCCACAGCGAGGCCTGGAGGAGCACAGGTCCTCAGATCCCTCCATCCTATGTTCCTCCTTCCCACGTCTGCTCTCCACAGGCCTGGGCCTTAGAGAGCGGGCCTTGGGATCACACGGTGGTGCAGGTTACCAAACAGTTTGAGCCCCACTGACCTCCTGAGTCAGGATCTCAGGCGAGGCCTGGACACCTGCCCTGGAGCTGAGCTCCCATGTGGTTCTAAACTCACAAAGTGAGCTTTACAGAATCAACACAAAGCGGGAGCAGAAAAAGGAAAACCACTGCCTCCCTCCGTCCCGCCCTGCTCTGAGACCAGAGTTGTTTCCAGGGGAACAAGTCACGCCCTACCTTTAAAAACTCAGCCCTAGAGAAAGCTGTGCACTGGCGAGTTAGAGCCCAGCTCTGAGTCATCTGAACACCCAGGATGGCGCCTCGGGCCCTCCGCCCACCATGGGTGCCTACAGGCTGGAGGCGAGGGCCGTGCTCCCCTGAGCCACGTGAGCTGAGGGGGAGGGCCGTGGGCAGGGCAGCGGCCAGCTAGGCTCCCGGGGGCGCTGGGCAGGTGGCTGGGGTCCTCCACGGCTCTGCCTTGTTTGTGTCTCCTCAGGACAGGGTGCAACGGGGGCACCATCAATGGCCTGATGCCCCGAGATCTGCCCTGCCCCCTCCAGGAAGGTTTTCTGGAACTGAGGCCCTGAACCCCAGCTGTCCCGCACAGGGGCTGGCGGCGGTTTGCTGCAGAAATGCTGCTCTGAGAATAAGCCAGTGGCCTGGGAATATGTCACAAGGAACCCCCTGCTGCCTCCAACCTCTTCTACTCTATCTACATTGATTTTATGCCCATCAACAGAGCTGCATCTTCAAACTACTTAAAAATAAAACAATAACAGTACCAGCAGCTGCTTCATGTAGGTGAGACAGGCAAATACACGACACCGAGAGGAGGGAGAAAATGGGGTCCCAGGCTAAGGCTGTCTTGGCGACATGCAGGGTGAGTGGGGGGCTGACGGTGTCACCGTGGCTGGCTCAGGCCCCTGGAGGCTGGGGCAGGTTTGGTGTCAACGGGATTTCTGTGTATACACAGCAGTGTAGGGGACACGTGGGGGCTGCAGCGTGTATACACTGTGGGTGTGAGAGGCAGGCGAGGCCAGACTGTCGGTGAAACGCCCCCTTGTTCCATGTGGCAGGGCCCTGGAGCCAGCCTGGCGGGGCTGTGGTGGCCATGCTGGGCCCGTCGCGGCAGCCTCAAATGGCTCTTTCTTTGGAAAGCTGGCTTTGGCAGGGGATGAGAGCTCGGCCTCCCGGCCTGTGTCCCCTCCCTCTGTCCTCCTGATGAACACACACATCGCCTCTTCCCTCCAGGACGAGACAGAGAGCAGCTCTGTGAGCTGCGCCTGGAGAGGCCAATCCCCCTACGTGCACCTCCAACGAGCCAGGAATGTTAAAAGGGCTGAGGCCGGACATGGTGGTCCTGGGCCACAGCCCCCCAGTCTCTCTCCAGCTCCCAGGAGCATAAAACTGCCAAGTCACATCAGGTGAGGCTCAGGTGGACCCCAGCAGCTGCCCCTGCCCTTGGAAATGGCAGCCCGGCCGGCCACAGGGAGGGGGATAGGAGGGGCCTGGGGTTGGAGAGAAGTCAGGAGAAAGTAGGAGCTGGGAGCATGGCCAGCCTGGACCTTTCCTGGTTGGCTGCTCTCAGATGCTGCCCTTTGAGGATGATGCTGAGAGTGTGGACTCAGGCGGTGGGTGGGAGAAGACGGTTCTACAACTATAACAGGTATGAGTACGGACCCAGGGAGAGGGTGCCTACACTCGGAGTGCCCTTTCTTTCCAGAATTGGGAGGAGGACAGGTAGGGCATAAGCAATAACGGGGGGGCTCCCGGCACCTCTCACTCATGCATGTCTGCCCAGCCCATCTTCACTGGGTCCATTGCCCCTTTGGGCAAGTGACTATCATGGCTTCAGGCTGTTACCAGGAGCAGCTGCCCAAAACGGCAGCAGGTTGGTTTGCAAAATTATGCAAGTTATTGGCATTCTGCTGTCATTGGCAGAAACCCTTTGTACCCACCTCCTTGTGACTTTCTCCCTAGTTGGCCCTGCCCCGGGCTGCGGCCCCCAGCCCCTGGTTGTGCGGCCTGGGCTCTGCGGTGGCTTCCTGTGGACCATCCCCAGCCCCTGGGCTTGAATGCCATTTCCAGGAAAGGGTGAGGCCAAGTGGGCACTGCCTGGTCTGTGGGCCTCCTAAGAGTTCTCCACACCCGGGCACTGCTGGCCGCCAAACCTCCATCCTCCAGTCCCCCGTGCAGAGAGCCCACTACCTGGTGTACAGGCCGTTCTTTCGGCAGAAGGAGTTCTTGACGGAGAGCCGCCGGTTGTTGAGTTCCAAGGCAGGAAAGCTGCTTTCATCCAAGCTCATCATCTCCCCGTGGCCCAGGACACCAGACTTGGCATTGTTCCCTGGGGGGGGGGGCGGGATTGACACCCAGTCACTCACCCCATCCCTTTGGACTGGGTGGCTTCCCCTCCCCCACCTGGCTGGCCTGTCCCCTCTTTCTTTTGTTAGAGTTGAAACTGAAATAGGAGATGGAGATTGTGTGTAGGAACCCTCAGCTGCCCCACCTATCAGAGCGGGTGTCTTTCCAGGAGGGAGAGACTGCCCCACCCATCCCTCGCCAAAAGGGAGGCAGACACAGGAAAGTCCTGTCCAGCCAGCAGGGCTTGGTACCAGCTCACCTGAATCTGTCTTCTTGGCATACTTCTTGCTCTGGCCTCGAATGATGAGCACAAAGACCAGGAGCAGGATGAAGATGAGGCCGACGAGGGCAATGACCACCAAGAACCACCACTCCTCGTAGAATGGGTTGGCTTTCTGGGCTGGAAGATGAATGGGGGTGTCAGGTCCAGGGTGCTCAGCCCCGTTCTGCCTCCCCCACCTCCTGCTCCAGCTGGGACCCCACCACCTGCTCTCACAGTTTATGGGTCGAGGGGACTGTGCCCACTGAATGAGGTAGAACCTAAGCCCAGGTTGGTAGGAACAGTTTCACCTCAAGTGCCAGCTTTGATCAGCTGCCTGGAGGGCTGTTTTGAGAAGAGTTCTGAGGTTGCTTCTGAACTCACTAGGAAACAGTGCTGGGATTGATTGGTGAGGTCTGCTGAAGACACAGGAGGGAACAGCGGCCATGTGCTTGCTATTTTTCTTTTTTTTTCCTTGCCACCCTTGGCCTAGTGGCTACCTTGATAGGCAGACCCAGATTTGTGTTGGAAAGGAGCTTCTCTGGCCTGTGGTGGGCCTGGGCGAGTTTCTCCCCAGGTTCAGCTGGGACCAAATCTTTTTCTGGTAGCAGAAGGCAGGGGAAGTTGGGAGGGTGGACACGAGTGGGTCTTTAGACTGCCTCCTCCAGGTAGGGCTCCCCCACTTTCAAAGCCCCCAGTACTGTGCTTTCTGCACCCAGCTGTACTAATCTGTGCTGCCGCCTGATGAGGGGCTGGCCCTTCTCTTTCAGTCTTGAAGTGTTTATTTCCCATGATTCGGTTGGATCAATCTAGGCAAGGGTGACAGTGTGTGGGCGGAGGGAGGCAGTGAGTTTCAGGGTCTCTGAAACTCGGTAGGGGAGCAGAAATTTTGAGTTATAGTTCTGCCTTGAGGGAAGAGGGCTTGGTATTAAAAGTTGCTAGTGATTAGATTTGGGGTCATGGGTTTCGAGATTACAGTCCTCTGTGAGCCCTGAGACATGCTGATGGGAGAACGATGAGAGGAGACAGGGAAGGATGGCAGTCCTATCCTGACCCCGGGTGCTGCTCAGTCCGGTCTAGGAGGCCTGCTCCACAGGCTGCTGACCCTGTCTGTTTTGGGGGGCGGTTTCTATGGAAATGAGCAGTTTATGGCCTGGCGCCCTTAGATCTCCTGGGCGATGAGCTCATGGAGGCTCTCATCTCGGATCCAATGATTCATCCACAAGCCCACTGGGCCTCCTGCCCAGGGCTTCGGGAGTCCTTGAAAGGGAACCCAAAAGACCCACGGCCCCCAGCTTCTTCCGGAGTTGAGAGCTGACTCAGCCCTGGCCCCGGGCTCACCACCGCGGGAGAACTGAGAGGATAACGCATTTTGGTCCCCACCCAATGCTTCTGGTGTCTGCTGTCTCACCCCGCTCCCCACCGCCCAGCCTCTGCCACAGGCTCTTCCGTGGGGCGCCCCCCACCCCTCATCCCCCAGGCCAGTACCTGGCACAGACTGGGAGGGGCCGCTGGGGGTGCCGAAGCCGTAGTCATTGACGGCGATGACCCGGAAGTCATAGCTCACGCCCGGCTTCAGGATGTCCATGCTGAACGTGTAGGAGGTCACCTCCTTGGGGATGTCCTTGATGAGGATGTCCCATAGCCCCTCATCTGCAGGAGCACAGAGAGGGAGGTGCCCGTGAGGGGGAGCCCCCACCCCATCCTAACTGCTGCTCCCTGAGAACAGGGCCTGTCCAGTGTCCCGTCAACACCCACTCTCCCGTGCTGGGCACCTAGTGGGGCTTCAGGAGCTATTTTTTAAAAAGATGCCTTTTGGAGTATCTAACCTTTTTATTCTTTTTATTAAAACGTCTGTAAAACATTAAAAAATGTATAATATGCAGAAAATACTGTAACAACCAACCCAATACCACCACCCGGAGAAAGAGACTCCCCATTTTAGCTGTCGCGTAGGAGAACTCTACATATCTGTGTCCCATGTCATTAAAAAGTGCTGGTCAGTGTGATTTTAAGTGGCTGGCTAAGATTTTATCATATGGGTATACCCTCCTGTACTTAACCAGGCCCTTATTTTTCTGGTCCCCGTTCCTACTGTAAATACATACAGCAGTGGCATCAGACAAAAAGGACTTTTTTTTTTTTTTTTTTAATAGCTGCTGCAGGAGGGACTGGGGTTGCCTGAGAGGGTTTGGCCAAGTTGCGTGGATTTCATGGCGCCCATCTCAGCTCCCTCCATGCTTAGGAGCAGCGACCTGAGAGGAAAGAGACCCAGAGCGGGCAGGAGGGATGCCCATCCATCCTCCACCCATGTTATCCCTACCACCCCCGTCCTTTGAGCTCCTGACTTTCCTTTCAGGCCCGCCCCCTCTGTCTGTGGTTCTCTGGGTCTTGCCCCCGTGGGACGTAATTCACTCTCACTTGATTCAAAAGAAATAGCGAGTGGGCTGTCCACGCAAGAGAACAGGCAGGCACCCGTCAGGGCCCAGTGGCGTTGACGGGGAGGCTGGGAGGCTGGGCAGGGGCCCTGGCCAGATGCTCTGTGTAGGGCCCATGGGGCGGGCTTGGCCCTTAGAAAGAGGGTGAGTCTTCCTGCTCATGCCAGTGCAGGGCTGATTTGGCAACCAAAGTGTCAAGCCACCCTGGGCCCTGGTCAGGTCCGCTTTTCACGTGGACCAGGGGCCCAGAGGTCTTAGAAGGACCTCGGTGGGCTGAGCTCCCAGGCCCTCCATCCCAGGGCCCACTCCAGGGAGGTCACCCAGTGTCCAGCCCGTGGATCCTCCAGGCTGCTGCTGCCCTGGACGAACCCCCACCAGCGCACCCCTCCGGCTCCTCCTGCCTCCCCGGCCCCGCCACACTGTTCTTCGTCAGTTTCTGAACTCCTTCGGGTAGGAGCTGCTTGCAGGCACACAGGTTGCTCCCAGGCTCCAGCTGGGCCCTTCCCTGGGGTTGTGGATTCTGCTTGCTGTCCACACCACACTACTTCACAGCTCCACCCAGGTGAAGAGCTCTAGTGGAGAAGCCACAACCTACGTCATCACTTCTGACCTTCGGACCAAGACCTGCTGAAGACCCTTCCCGTCCTTCCTGTCTAGATCCCTCTAATTCAAAGGCGGCCGTGGGGGCCCCGTCTGCGTTCTACTGTCCTCACAGAAGGCTCTGGAGGTCCTGAGCCGTGGCCTCATCTTCTACCTTATTTATTTGGTTTTGGGTGCCTGCCTGATACACAGCACATCTTTTTGTTTCACGTCTCTCTCTCTCGCTGGGATAATTTGTTTGCAGCCCAGCACCCAGCACAGGCATTCTCTAAGTGCCATTGAGTAAATGAATGCAAACTTCTCTTCCCCGGCCTTTTCACCGCATTATGTGCCCCAGTACCGCATGCCTCGAAATCTAAGTATTGGGGTGCAAATCCATTTTCCTCCTGTGACTTTGAATGCTCTCACTCACCTTCAGTGACAGTCACAGTGATGATGATGATGACACAACAGTGACACTCATTCCTCGTCTAGCATTGCAGTTCTAAGAGCATTACTTTTCACATCCATCGCAATGGCGAGAAGGAAGAGCCACAGTACCCACGTTACAGATGAGGAAACCAAGGCTTGGGGAGAGCTGAACCCATCTTCCCAAGGCCACACCGCCCTATGTGGCAGAGCTGGTGTTTCAGCCAGGCTGGCTGATTCTCCCGGCACTGAACTCCCTCCATGCTCAGGATGGTGCCCTGTGCAATCAGCACCTGATCTGGTGTTGGCCGCATGGGCTCATCCAGGACCCTGCTGCCTCCCAGAAGCTGAGGCCTCCTGGCTGCTGGCTGACCCCCCCCCCTCATTCCGCCCCACACAGAAACAAAGCGTGGGGCTGGGGCAACGGGGCCAGGCCATTCCAAGCTGCTGGAATGTTACGCCGTGGCTCTGGCCTCCAGCCCTGGGAGTCGGCTGATGTGTGGGGTGGGTTCCACAGGCTATAACCTCCAGTAAATCCCTCCCTGGTCTGCAGCGCCTGACTCCTCTCAGTTCACAAAAAGTGGGTGTGTTTAGTTGATTCTGCCCAGCACGAAGCACAAGCAACGCAGGGGGAGCCATCTCATCCTGAGGATGGGAGGATGTACAGCCAGGGGCACAGCAGGGGGAGATGCCCACCCCCTAATGGTAGGCTGCTCTCACACAGCCATGGGAGAGGCAAGACATCCCCCTTGCCCTCCATCGTCTCCTCACTGCCTTCTGTCCCATCGCCAGCCTTCCTGGCTTGGTCCTTCCTCTTACACTCAGCCCTTGATCCCACCTGTATGGACCAAGTCATGGCCCCCAGACCCAGAACACCAGGTCCCATGCCGGGCCTCCCAGGGAACTGATGGAAAATCAGCAGTGCCAAACTCCAGAGCCAACATTCCACAGCCTGGCACCCCGGTGGGCCAATTTGGGTGGAAAAAACAAGCTCAGGCCCTGGCTGGGAGAAGCCCCGGTGGTTGGTCTCCTGGCCAACTCAGCAGCCAGCACTGGAGGGCCTGGAAGGGACCATCTGGAGTGGGGAGAGAGCCAAGCCCACGTACACCTTCTGGCTACACGTTGGATCTGAGCTGCTAGATGTATTAGCTACTTGCGACTGCAGTGATTAGCCTGAGAGAAGGCAATGATGGAGCGGCAGTGGCTTTCTGGAACCACTGGAATAAACTATTTGCTATTGAGATGATCAGAGCTCAGCTACCCCGGGGTATTAACAGCTTGTCACGGCATGTTTCAATGCTCCCCGTTAGAAGTATTAGCTACTGAGATGCCTGGCTACTTCCCATTACGATTATTATTTGCTGTTCATGCCGGAGCAACAGTCTTTCTTTTTCTTTCTTGACTTCAATCACCTAATCATGGATCCACGGAATACCAAGAAGAAGCCTCCAGCCGTCGCTGACTCTGGCACCTCTGATTAACTTGGAAACCTAGCAACAGAGGGAGCTGGCGGTGGCCGAGGGCTCCTGGGGGTAAGGGGAGCCAGAGGAGCAGGTGTCGCAGCAACCGCGAAACAGGAGCACGGAGAGCAGCCCCCTGGAGCGACTTATCAGCCACTTGTCTCCTGATGGCTTTGGAAGTTACAGTGATTCGATTTCAGGCTTGACAGGAGAGGTTGGTACAGTCACAGGAACTGCCGAGACAGTCATGATGGCAGAGACAGGCCTTAAGGTGGCAGCTGGAGTCTCCAGGGGACAGCTGGCCTCTTTACGGGCATTGGTCAGAGGGGTTGCGAGGAGGACACGGGCGTTTAACCAACAGGAGCCCAACTCTTGGCTCCTCCGGCTTCTTGAATGATCCTCGACTGGAGTCAGTCCTCACCTGGCGCTAAGTGCCATTCTTGGGGGGCCTCCTGGGTGTTCCTTAAGTAAGGGTGCAACTCCCCATTTCCACTCACCACGGAGGCCACCTCTAGCTTCACCCACAGGAGCACGGTGCCTTCGTACGAGGACACAAGCGCCGCAATGAGGGACTCGGGAAGGAGGGAGATGTGGACTCGATCCAGAGGGAGAGACAGCTCAGCTGGGGGCGGGGTGTACCTGAAGGCCTGGCCTCTATGACGTAGCGGGTGATAGGCCCTCTGCCGGGGTCCCCGCTGGACCAGTGGATGGCGATGGCCGAGCTATACCGCACGATGATGGGCACTCCAGGCGGTCCCGGGGCACCTGCAAACAGCACACAGTGGGCAGGGGCTGTACAGAAGCTGGAAGGGAGCCCCTGTGCTCAGTAGGAGGGGCTAGGTGACAAAACCAACCCCAGACACCCGAGGAACGAGTCTCAGGCCGGGCCTGCCAGACCCGACTGTGTTCTCCTCCGGGTCACCCACAGCCCCACATTCCAAGTTCTAGGGCAGGAGAGGTACATGGGGTGATGCCAGAAAGATCCCTGAAGCAGAGTCAGAAAGCCTGGGTTTCTAGTTCCAGCCCAGAACTTATTAGATGGGTGACTCTGATCAATGCACATAGCCCTTCGGTGCCTCAGTTTCCCCATCTGTAAGGGCCTTTTGGAATGTAAGGCTTGAAGAGCTGCATCATAGGGGGCAGTAGAGGTGGGTGTGATGATGGTGGAGTGGGCCTATGATAAGGGAGGGGTTGTGTTTTGGGGGCCTGAAGGGCCCCCCGACATCTCCTTTCCTGGCCTGTGATGGCAATGTCCCCCTACCTCCTGCCTGAAATCCCCCAGCCCCAGCCCCAGCTGCACTACCTATAAGGCTGGGCCAGAGAGGAGGCTGGGACCACAGGAGACCCTAGGGCCTCCACTGCTAAGAGAGTGGAGGAAGGACTGGGCCCCGCCGATGGCTCTCCTGACGTGGCGGGCGCATCAGGGTAGCAGCCTGTTACCCTGCCTCCCAGGGAGCCAGCCCCAGGAGCCAGAGCAGGAGAGAGGAGTTTATTTCTGTAGTAAGAAGAGTGAGCTTGTTCTGTCTACAAGGGTCCTGAGACCCTTCTCTCTGGGGGTGCCCTGCAGCACAGGCCAGTGCCCATCCTCAGGGCTCCCAGTGCCCCCAGGGCCCCCAGATGCTGTCACCACATGCCTGTTCCCCAGTACACGTGGAGCCCTGCATCCCCAGAGCCCGGCACACAGCAGCTGCTTCCTACATGCTTGTAGGAGGAGCGAACACGCCAGGGAGTGAGTTGGATGAGTGACTGCTGGCTGAGAGAGTGTGGGGTGGCCCCTGTGGAGGCACGCTGGGAAAGAAGCTGAGAGTCCAGCATCTCCTAGGCCCAGGAGAGCCGGCAGGCTGGATAAGAGGCCACTACCAGAGCTTGGCAACCCACTGCCCGGCCCACGTCCAGTCCCGGCCTGTGACCTCAGAGGGCCTTGTTTCTTTCCTTCTTTCCTTCTTTCCTCCCTTCCTCCCTCCTCATCTCCCTCCCCCGCTCAGGTGCATCCTGCCTACAGCACAGGGCAGAGGTGCCTGAAGGATCAGGGGGTGTGGCACACAGCCCGAGGGAGGTGTGAGCAATGCAGTGGGGGCTCTGAGGACTCTGAGTTCTCATTTTGCACAGGACAGCACTCAAGGCTGAGAGAAAGAGCTGTCATCTCCTGGACCAGAAGCTTCCAGCACGTCCAGCTGTTGCGTGGCCTGGAGGGAAAAGGATGCCTGGCTGCACGTCCTTGCCCTGCAGACCCCTCCTCACCAACACCCGCCAGGCGCAGCTCTGCTCTTTCTCAGGGGCCTTGCACCTCCTCTGTACTTCCTGCCACCCCCTCTCCCACCCCCAGCCTGGGACACTTCAAGCCTCAGGTTAGAACAGCCTGTTCTCCAGACAGCCCTCTCCTGTCCCCATGCCACTGTTTGGCTGGCCCTTCGTGTCCCTGCCAGCTCTCTTCCTCCTTTTGTTTCCCAAGGAAGCTGGCTCAGGTGAGAGGTGAACCGGGAGGGGCTGGGGGCAGGTGAAGGGCAGAGTACCCGGGCAAGCCTCCTCCTGCAGCCCTGCAGGCTCTGTTCCAGCAGAGCCCAGAGGCCAGACAACTCCTGTGCAGAACAAGAGGCAGGGAAAAGAAAGCACCCAGAAAGAGAAAGTGAAGAGTGGCCAGCCAGAACCAGCAGGGAGGGAAACCTGCCAGACAGGTGAGAGGCAAGGAGTGGCAGCCCTCCAGGCCCAGCTCACCTCCCAGAGGCTGGGCTAAGCCGGCTCCTGATGAGAGGAGGCCTTGTCCA